CTGAAAATTAATAAATAAATTTGTTTGAAATCTTCAGAATCTAAACACCCTGCCATGACACCGGTGCACACACACCCCGAGGACAGCGTGGACAGTGTCTCGCATTCAACGGTCGCGTCCACTGCAGCAGAACACTATAGGCTGGGTTACCAAGAGTGTCTCAGCGAGACGCTACACTTCCTCGTGGAGGTGGAGGGCTTCTTCGCCAGGGATTCTCTGTGTGTTCAGTTGATCAACCATTTGCAACAACACTGCGAGAAGATTTTAGCTACCAGTGAGTAGGAGTTTGTAGGGGATAGCCAAAATTAATGTAGGTAATCGTGGTACTTTGTTTCGGTGTCTTTTCAACTTTCTCTTTATCCTTCCTCTCTCTCTCTCTCTCTCACACAAGTTGAATTGGGAATACATGTAGTTTTCACATAGGTCGTTCTTTCACCGATACAAATATTCAAATCAATCGATTAACAAGTGACACAAAAGAAGACATGAAATCAGTTTTGAAATATATTGTTTAATGAAAGCCAAAGTAATCGACACCGTAACCGCATTTTTTCTAATCTTTACAAAATTCATGATTTTAGGCGATAGGCTGGGCTTCCCTCATCCCGAGATGCCAACGACGAACGGCGTAGCGAACGGTACCAGCTTCGCTCACACCAGCATTCCCACGATATGCCAACCGAATGGTCATTCCGATCACGGTTCAAGCTCCGGTGTGAGTTCGTTCGGCGATCCTGAACGTCCTTTACGTCCAACGATTATCCCACCGCCAGCGATAGTCAGCGACGACAGCAATCACAGCACCCACTCGCATAGTACACCGCCGAGTACCAGCTGCAAGCCTTCCAACTACAAGTTCAAGAGCTCGATCAAGCAAAGGTTCTCCGCGGAGAGGATAAAATCTAGCCCACCGCCGGCGACCAACACGGAGAAACCGTCCTCTTCACACGGCGTGCCGATATTTGCACTGCACGACGGTGGCGCGTTTTATGTTCCGTTAACGGTCGAAGCGTCAATGTTGAGGCCTCACTTGAACTTCATCCCGGACACCGGTCCAGACACGGTCCTCCATCCCGTTACGATATCTGTGAATTTCAACCATACGACGAGTCCACCGGCGTGGTCACACCATAACAGTCCTACGCATCAGCAACAGACATAAAGGACACGAGCCAGGGGTCGTTTCTGAGTGTGACCCAAATTCCCCTGTCTCGCTCGTTCTACCCGTTGATGCATGTTAATTATACGTTACGACGTGTGTTCATACGCCTTGAATCTGCGTATTATAGATTGACACATGTTATATATGGCGTTGTCACAGTATGAATACTGTCTGTTAGGCGGACGACCGGTTGTCCTCGTTCGAGGATACGATCGGCAGTCGTACACAGAATCAAACGGTTAGACGAAGTGTTTTCGTTCGACTGGTTCATTATTTCGATCGATTTCTTTGGAGGAGAAACGATCGATCGGCCATGCCCTCGTCGTATGGTGATCGAGAATTTAATTTTCTTTCTGGTTCTTTAGCTGTTAATATCCGACGTACGCTGGTGTGTACCGTGTTAGCGTTTTAACGAAGAACAGAGGTGTCGAGGATGAATTTTTGTTTCTTTTGTATATTTACCGAGGCTGTGGGTTGTCTTAGCATTTACGAGGTTCGAGAAATTAAAAGAGCGATGTAGGAGGTGTCGTAGGTAGAGATAGAGTATTAGGGCTTGAAGCCCCGGGTTGCTTTAGCTTCGGTGTGCCTTTTCCTTTCGTCGATATCGTCGCAGTCGAATCCCGTTCCTCTTTCATTATTCTTTCTCTCTCTCCCTCTCTGTTTTTCATCCTTCTCCTTTTCTTTTATACCAACCTTTTGTTTCGTTGTATCTTCTTCTTCTTCTTCTACTATTTGATTCCACTTGTATTTCTTTCTGCGCTTCAACTTCTCTCTTTACTCATCGGCTGGACAAATATGTCGCGCGGTTGTGAACGAAACGGTTGCAAACAGTATCGAACTCCGAGTCAAGCCAATCAGCGTTGGTTAATTAGTATTAATAAGGATTTCACGGCGACAATGTTAGAAACATCGAATTCCCGGACGAGAAAGATTGGAGGTCTGGATGTGCCCGCAACGTGTTAGATCGGCCGACGATGTTCTGTTTTCGAAGCATAAGCTAAGCCGACAAAAAGTGCCTACAATATTCTGATTTACGAATTCCATTTTATGTGATCGTCTCTCGTATGTACGAAGAAAGTGGTTTATTTTTTGTTCTTTTCTGTGGATAATTCTGTGTCACGTTCGATCGCAAAGAAGATCGGAGTCTGCTCGGCGCCCTGGCAAACGGGCCTCGGCAATTAAAGACTGACCAAGACCTGCATTACACTAAATTCTTGTAAGATCATTGCATTAAATATATATTTGTACATACCACGTTTAGTTGTAAAGTTAACGAAGAATTTATGCGAAATAAATTATATTTAGCATAGCCTCAGCTTTTTATGGCAACAACTTCCCTTATTTCTCTATCCTCCTGTAAATTACTTCTTTAATTATATCGAAATCACACATGCGCGTACTTTATATCTCTTCATACTCTTGTTTTATAGCCATTTTATTACTAGAAAAAAGAAAAAAAAGGGAAAAGTTGTTTTTCGAGGAATTATCGAGGGATTCGAGGAAATAAGATACAAAACGGTGCAATTAAAATTTTTTTTTTATTACATGAACATAATACTGGCTAAGGGTCAAAACAATTGTAGAACGCGTCTATTAGGGGTATCGAGATTAACACAGGCAACTCGCAATGGGGAAACTCGTGTCACGAATTCGAAGGTAAATTCGTCGTTCGATTGCGCCTCCGTTTCGTGAGCGAGTTTCCTTCGAGCCGCGAAAGAGGGATTTGGGAGCACAGTCTAATGTTCCCTAACTAGAGATAAATACATTTCTTATATAAGTAATAAAATTATTCGCAGCGAGGCAACCAAGTCTTTGAACAAATCAGCCTTTAACGAATCCTTCAAAAAGAAATCGATTAAAAAGATCGGGGATGCGAGGCAGCAGCGGGCGGAGAGTCATGTGTGTGTCCGTCCAACATAGATAATTGTGTGATTATTCGTTCGCGACGTTTATTATTCACCGATCACACGTCGCGATCTTCTTATTTTTTTCTCACGAATGTTTGTATGCGTATATGTGTGTGTACTGCACGTTCTCTCGTGTCTCACGTAAACTCTTTCTCTCTCTCTCTCTCTCTCTCTCTCGCTCTCTCGGTATGGAGAAAAATGCAGGTGGAATCGCGGTGGAATCTCAGGCTAATTCGTGGGCCAGCTGCTGCCTCGTATGTATTCGTTTCGCGTGATAAGCTGTGATTCACACACGATACGTCGTCGTTTATAATCGTCATCCCCGTCTGGTCATTGGTGTGTAATGTTGTTTGTTATATTTAATTGAAAAAACCTAACTACACAGAGTTCAAGGGAACTGAGTATTGTTTTGTTTTTAAATGTTTTCTTTTTTTCGGTTTTTTTTCTTTTTTTCTTTTAATATGTTGTTTACCTGTAATTGGACACATATTCGTCAATGTAAGAGTAAGTAAAAACGTAAGAATCCACCTAGCATATGTGGGGCGTGCGCGGGGCGTGGGTGAACTGAATGTGCAGATTCGGATAGATGCGCGGATTCAATACTACCGGATAATGTAACGGGGGTAAGCACAACATCTTTTCACTTTTGGTATTATTATTATTAGTTGAGTATGAGTTGAGTGGAGCAGCCGCGGCGTACTGCATCCTAGCGGAGGATCCCTTAGCGGAGATGCTCGTCGGGCACCAGCCAGCGGACTGCGAGCTTCCGAGGAAGCTTGATGGTTACTTTTTCTTCTGGGCTTTCTCCGCGGCCTTTGTGACCTTGCCCTGGGTATCTTTGAAGGTGACACTCTGCGGGAAAAAGAGAAATTGTTTGTGTTAATAATACTGCTATGGATGAATAATACGATATAAACGTGCGGTTTGAGAAGGGAAGTTGGCAAAATTTTCTGACTGAATCCCGCTTTTATTTTTAGTCTTCTTAGAACTCTTTCAGATCTGTTCTCTCGTCAGAATACGTAGTTGCATAATGATTAAGGACAATATCGGTTTACTTTTGACATTTCTCTCGTTCGAAACTCGATTATTCAAAGAGAGTTCGTGGTGGTGTACGTATCCAACGATTAGTTACTTTTTCATCAATTGCATAAGCTGAGTAAACAGATTCGTGTGCTTAATTAGATAAAGTATGTGTTCTATCTGCTCTTTATCGTAATTGACTGTTCATTATCAGTTATTTACCAAGCGTTTTTCGCGTTATCAGCCCAAGGGTTAAAGTCGCGTTATGCTTTTTTATATTTTAATAAAATCTTTCATTGTCTTCTGGCAAATTGCGCAACCTTTTATAGTGCTATTCTTTTTCTCATTTTAATATCGAATTTTCCTCGATATTGCAGCTAACCTTTTTTTTTTTTTTCAGGAGTCTAAATATATGCGAGTACACAATGTAGCGTGCAATCGTGCAAAATGTTGGCGAAATACCAGAATTGTTTTCCTCATGTTCATATAACGTTGAAAGATTTATATCAGGAAATACTAAACTTATTTCTTAATTTATTAACAGCCTTAAATTATTCAATCTTTCGTGAACATGTCTAATTAAAAAATTCGAGAAACATCTCTTACACACGCAAATTTGTAAATGGAACAATTCGATTGAAATGAATTAAAGTTATTGTGAGTTATTGTGCTTGAAGTTAGATTGCGTAACACGCAAAGAGGTGTCTCAGACGCCTGGAATATTTTAGTAGGAAAAGTGATTGTACTATTGTCAGCTTGCCATGATATTCAGACCGTTAAACAACATGAAATATCAAAAATGAATAGTACGTAGTTAGTTATTTCTAATGTTTCAACAATTACTGCATTATTTGCATTTTTCAATTTCAAATTACCGCCAAATCTAGTCAATTTCTCTACGATAATCATCAACTCTTGTGTCTCCCATCGAAACGTAAAATTACAATCAACCATAATTTCTCTTCTCACGTAGAAGAACTTCCCATACCAAATCATCCTTCACGGACTACCCTTTCAGCCTTCTCTCACGTTTCCTTTATTCTCCGCAAAAACCGACAGAACAAAGGAGCACGCATCGTTCTACCAGGATCAAAGCTGCGAAGGTAGATAGAAAAGAAAAAAGAAGGTTAATTACATGAACGAATATAGAAGAGTAGTACTAAGAAAAGTAACTCGACGTCCACACGTTTTTCATCCTAATACACAAAAGAAGCAGGATTACAAAGGAAGACGTACAACCGACGGATTCCTCTTCATCCAATTGCTCTCTCTCTCTCCCCCCCTTTCTCTAAGGGGGAAAAACGATTTGTGGCAGTGAAAATGTCGACTTATCCGTACCTTAATGACGCCCACGGCGACGGTCTGACGCATGTCGCGAACCGCGAAGCGACCCAACGGCGGAAACTCCTGGAAAGCCTCGACGCACATTGGTTTAGTGGGCTGCAACATCACGATAGCAGCGTCCCCGCTTTTGATGCTCTTCGGGTTCTCCTCAGTGGTTTTGCCGGTACGACGGTCGCATTTCTCCTTGATCTCCGCGAATTTGCAGGCGATATGAGCGGTGTGACAGTCCAACACCGGCGTGTAACCGTTGGAGATCTGTCCAGGATGGTTAAGAACGATCACCTGAGCCGTGAAATCGGCCGCCCCTCGAGGCGGCTGATTCTTCGAGTCGCCAGCGACGTAACCACGCCTCAACTCCTTCACGGAGATGTTCTTCACGTTGAAGCCGACGTTGTCGCCGGGCAACGCCTCTGTTAACGCCTCGTGATGCATCTCGACCGATTTTACTTCAGTGGTGAGCGCTGTTGGGGCAAATGTCACCAGCATACCTGTGAAAATGAAGATTGTACGAAGTGAAAATGTGAAGTTTAGAGGGAAGAGTTTGGAACTGAGGGATGTAAGTCATTTATCAAGGGAAAGCTGTTTAATTGGCTTCGCTGTGGAATTTGTCGGATGTTGTAACTTGGGTTATAAGCGTTTATGAGCTTACAAGCTTTGGAAATTTTGTTCTTTTTAATTTTTCATTTTGGTGTGAATTTAATTTCGTAGATTTGTAGAGGACTTTGATAGAGGTATCAGGCAAATTTTTTAAGGGTGAAAACACTCCTTGAAGGTATGTATGTGTGTTTTCTTGAAATTTTAATGCATATAAATGAAGGTAGTGAAGAATGTTGTTTTTATTTAAACATTGACAATTTCATTGCACAGTTTTATAGAGTATGAGATGCTGTTAAATTTTCAGTGTAACAGCTTTTTTATGTCCACTATAATTTTCAAGATGTACAGGAAAATAGGGAAACACATATTAATGTTTAAGGGGTGTTTTCATCCTGAAGAAGCAAAAGTTAGTAAAAAAAAAAATTGCCTGATACAAAACAAAAGAAAAGGAATTTTCGAAATATCGAAATTCCCTTGTTAATTTATTTCCAAATCTGTTATTTAATTTTGTAAACATTCTATGTCGTTACAGAGATAACATGAACCATTTAACACATCTAATCTGAACCATAAGCCCCATGAACTCCAACAGTGCAAAAAGGTCCACAAAGATCAATCGAGAAATAAATAAATAAATAAGCCTCGCGAACTCCAGTATTGCAAAGATAACACCACAAATCTCAATCGAGAAATAAACAAATCATGTGAATAACAAAAAGAAAAATTCGAAAAATCAAAAAATAAACTTAGTTTTATTTCACTTAGACAAATGTAACAAAAATCGTTCCTGAAAAATAGTGAAGAAAGAAGAAAAATCGTTCGTGAGACAACAGTCTCACCTCAGATTTTACCTTTTTTCAATTATCTCCTAGGCGTGTAGAAATAAGTTTCCCATTTACATTTACATTTTTGCCATAGGAAATAATTCAACAAAACTGCACACTTTTGGAGAATCGATTATGCAAGTGTAATACACAAGCATGGATCGTTAACACTATAACTACCAGCTGGATCAAAACGACCCATTAGCAACTTCCAAAAAAGAAAAGTGATTATTCAATACTACAGTAACTATCATCATTTCTATCGACACCTTTCACTCCTGCAAAATCCCTAACGGGTCATTTTCATCCAACCGCCACGTTCCAGCGTTGAAGTGCTAAAAAAAAAGAACCTCCGTCAGAAAATCTCCCATTCTCAAACCGTATCCATACCTGGCTTCAAAATACCGGTCTCCACACGACCGACCGGTACAGTACCGATACCACCGATCTTGTAAACGTCCTGAAGCGGTAAACGAAGAGCCTTGCTGATAGGTCTGGACGGCGGCAGTATAGCATCGAGCGCTTCGATCAAGGTTTTCCCATCGGCGTTGCCATCTTTACGCTCCACTTTCCATCCCTTGTACCACGGTGTCTTTGGCGATGGTTCGAGCATATTGTCACCGTGCCAGCCGGAAATCGGCACGAACGCCACCGATCCGGTGTTGTAACCGATCTTCTTGATGTACGACGACACCTCTTTCTTGATCTCCTCGAAACGGCTCTCCGAATACGGCGGATCGGTCATGTCCATCTTGTTCACACCGACGATCAGCTGTTTCACGCCGAGTGTGAACGCTAGCAAAGCATGCTCGCGCGTTTGTCCGTTCTTCGAGATGCCGGCTTCGAATTCACCTATACCAGCCGCTACGATCAAGACGGCACAATCAGCCTGACTCGTCCCGGTGATCATGTTCTTGATGAAATCACGATGGCCAGGTGCGTCGATGATGGTTACGTAGTACTTGGCCGTTTCGAATTTCCACAGGGCTATATCGATGGTGATACCACGTTCGCGTTCAGCTTTCAGCTTGTCCAATACCCAGGCGTACTTGAACGAGCCCTTGCCCATCTCCTGAGCCTCCTTCTCGAACTTCTCGATTGTACGCTTGTCGATACCGCCGCATTTGTAGATGAGATGACCGGTGGTGGTTGATTTGCCCGAGTCGACGTGGCCGATCACCACGATGTTTATATGAATCTTCTCTTTACCCATGTCGACGCTCTAGTTACCTGGAAGATTGAACAGCGATCGTGAGTGGAAACGGGCTTCGATATTGATTCGACGGCGTTTCTCGCTTTCGTTCTGGAGATTCGTGTTTCTCGATATCAATGAAATTTCAGATGAAATTAAACCGTAGGTGGTGTAGATATGTATTGGCGGGTGTGGTAGTTTTAATTGAGTTTTGTGTTTTCGATATTTTCGGCGATGCAAAAATTTGAGTTAGTTTAAAAATTTGGTAACGCAGAAGTTTGAGTTATTTTCATTTTGCATTTTTCTTCTGTTCGAGGTAGTACCGACGAGTATGCAAATTTTTATTCAGATTTTGTTCAATTCTGAAGTTTCGTATTTTTGATATTTTTAATTCTGCGAGAATTTAAGTTATTTTCAAAATTTGGTAACGGAGAAATTGGAGTTATTTCCATTTTGCATTTTTCCTCTGTTCTAGGTACACCCCGACGAGTATGCAAATCTTAATTCAGATTTCATATGAAATTTCGTGTCTTTGATATTGAGTTGATGCAAAAATTTTAACATTGGTGTTTATGATTCACTCGAGATGAAATGAAATGGTGGTATATGTATACCGATGAATATCGCAAATATCAAATCAAGACTCGATCGAATTATAAAATTTCGTATTTTGGTTGAGGAAAAAATTTCAGTTATTCCGTTTACGGTATACCATCATTATGACCGTGTTAGTAAACGCAAATGACGTTGACTAAAGATAGGCGCCAGACGTATACATTCCAATCGATAAAGTTTATTCTGACTCGAGTTATAATCTGCGCATAGTTGGACTTATAAAATCAGCATTTCATTATTTTCACACCTATTTAACACCTTGTCGGGTACCTTTCAGTCATTCCCACAAGAATCGTGTGTTCCTTTACATATTTTCTATAATCCAACATTTTATCCAACAATTTTCACCTTTTACGGTTGCCATATTTTCTATCTAATTTTAGCAAAATAAGGCTACCAGCGCAATAGTACCCTAACCCCAGAGAAGCTTGTTCCGAGATCGTGGCAAATGAAATTATTCACGTTTTAAAACATTTTTCCTATTTTTAGCTACATATGTATAATTTTTGTTTCTAAATATTTTTTAGAATATTACTTAGGCTACTATAAAATTTAAATTCTACCGTACAAAAGATGGTTCTGGACTGGATTATTTTTTTTAAATTTTTCATTCAAATTGAAATAAATTCTGTTCGAGTGCTCGATTGCATTCCACTTGCCACGAAGGGGTTGATTCGCCGAAAATTACGGATTAGGCCTCTATCAGGCTAATATACCGAATTAAGATCGGCGCGCAAGAAATGGTGAAATTTACGAAATTAATCAGTCGTGTTTACCCAAACAATTTACGCGTAATTGGCGGTGCATGTCATTAATAATTGATTGGAATTCGATAGCACGGAGCGTCGTTCATTATCGGACGAGAGCGGAGTAAAAGATTAATACGTGACGAGACATTGGGATTGGTCACCATGGCAGATCATACGCGTGTCTGTACTACTGACGCGCTACAGCCCTCAGTCGATCGTATTTTTCGTGATTTGTTCGGTAATCTGAATACAACAATCACACCTACTTTTATTTCCCTTTAAGTTTACGCTGAATAATGGAAGAATTTTAAATGTTGCGTTGAAATAATAGGCATTGTTATAAATAATTGAAGGACTTTTGTTTGAGGTAAATTTAGGAAATAAAATTGGTAATTTGAATGATAATTTGTGTTTGAGGTGAATTTTAAGAAATAAAATTGATAATTTAAGTAACAATTTCGATTTATGAAAAGTTTGTTAAATAAAATAGCAATTTGAATTTATGGAGAATTTTTAAGAAATAAAATTCACGATTTGAATCGTATTTTCAATTTAGAGAGAATTTGAAATAATAATTTCTGTTCGAGAGAAGTGTAGGAAATATGATTGATAATTTAAATGACATTTTCCGTTTATGAAAAATTTAGGAAATAAAACTGACAATTGAAAATAATTTCAGCGTATTTATAGTTTGTATAAAGTAACGGATACTTTAATTAGCAAAAATTATATTCTATTGTACGTTAATTATTATTATTGATAATAAAAAAATATATTTGTTCAAGCGGTAAAACTAATAAACAGGACTGTACATATTTTTTAAACGACAAGTTTATGTTTTGAAAAATATTCTATTAAATTACTTTCACTCGTTTTAAACATAGATCTGTCCTATGAAAAGGGACTCACAGATATATGGTTACATAACAAACGTTTCCTGACACGTTTAAGAGTATGATTCTCACACAACAGTGACAAGTGGAGCTGTATCGATTGCCTGAATTCCACGAATCATACTGCTTTTCAGAATTATTGCGCTCAACGGATCGTTCAAATTGTTGCGAAACACTTGACAAATAATAGCTATGAATACAGTGGAATTGAATGCTTTCTACAATAACCCTTATCTTACACCATAGCAAAATCACTTTTGTTACTCGTTAAATAATAACTTACGTTGAATAATAAGGAAATATGTTACACTCGAAATATAACATTTAAAAAAAAAGAACAAAGAACAATTCAGTATTCGATATTACACCAATTTAGTATTAATTCAAACTGTAACATTTAAAAAGTAGAGACAATTCAATATTCAATATTTTCCAAATTTAAAAAAAAATTCGAATTCAATGTTTTCCCACATTCAAAAAAATTCCAATTCAATATTCTACATTAATTCACAAAAAAAAAATTGGCTTCAAGGCAATCGCGATAAATTCCTCACAAATTAATTAAAAATCAATGTCTCTTTACTCCCGTATGCAGTACCAAATTTCACGATGAAAACGTAGATAAAAATCGTTACGTCACTGTTCGTAAAAATGTACACGGTGTTGGAAACTGAACAGCAACCCCCCTCGAGAACACACACTTCCTGCGCTACGATATACCCTTGATAAAAACCAAAGCACCGGACGTACCACGAAAAGCTACGCGAATCTCAACAACTTAGCGATTCACAATACAAAAAAACAAGCACGAGTTTATCGTAACGTTGTCAATTATTAACAAAACGTGTCAGGTTTCACTCGGGTGATCGATCCTCTGCGTAGCACATTCGCGTAAATATTCGATCACGATGGGAACGTTCACGATTATTACCCCGAACCGGATTACAACCTCATTTCCCACGGATTATCACGATCGAACTTACATCACAATCGAAATCCCTCTCGTAATTACGCGGGTGAACACCGTGGAACAGATAGTGAGAGAGGTGCACGTTATCGACTATCAAGGGAACAATTAATATTTACGTGTCAACGAAGACTAGCTGGCGAACCGCGAAGGGTATTGATTCGACGAAAGGGCCCCATGCGGGCCACATCGAAAATACCATCGGTGCGAGTATGCGCGCTTATTCGGGCGAGCCCTATGAGAGGAAAAAAAAGAAAATAAAAGGAGAGAGAGAGAGAGAGAGAGAAGAGAGGGGGGGGGCACTTTTTCCGTACGTTTCAACATCGTCGTATCTCGAGATTTCACCCTAGAAAACGTTTTATTTTTACGAATCTAATTCTACTTCGGATTAATACGTTACTCGATATGTGTTATCGAAAACAATCGATTGTCGAGAAATCGCGAATTTCACACGATACCTGGACTGTTTTAACCGTCCAGTCAAATCACGTTAACGCGACGCACTCGTTCGATAGCGTGCAACGATTCGCATATACACCGGCCTCTTCTAATAATAGTCAGAGCGACCGAGCGAAGCAGCCATTTCGCGATCAGCAATTTCAGGCTCGCGATTCCGGCATCGCCTCGAACCACTTGAAACACTCTTCCCCTTGTCCGATTGAGAGCCCCACGTTCCCCTGATCTTAATTCATGCGAGGCTCTAATACACAGGTTTTTTTACAACGTTCACACCGACTCACACTTCTTTTGTGATGCAATTCGTGACCGGAGGGTTAGAGGTTAAGAAGAGGCAAAACTACCGGTTCCACGCTTGAACCGGCTTTTCATCACTTACCTCTTCACCCAGTGGGTCGTACGACGTTGAATAACGAAGGAATAGCGTAATCACGGTTCAATCTGGTCCTTCAATCACGAGTTAATCAGATCCAACTGGGACGCACAACGGTCGCTCGCCCTTGGCCGCTCGCGTAATGGCCGCAGCAACGAATATTAGCGGCGCACTTCTCAGTTACTCCCCGCTCCTTGCCCACTAGTAACCTGCCCGATTCACGGATTTCCTATATCGTATTCTCTCTTCTAACGTATCGTTTTTACGCGGCAAAAATGAACCGGCTACGAGTCGTATTACCTCTTCTTTTTTTTTTTAACCGGGCAACGCGAATAGCGCACAGGGCGGACTTGCACCGAATCGAATCAATATGTCGCCAGGCGGCCGGCTTTACTTTTTACTTCCGCGTTGCTCGCGGCAGATTAATCCCACCTATCGCCTATCGCCGTATTACGTCCTACCGTTTCTTATTTTCTCGCGAGAACGATGCGTTGCGTTGCGTCGTCCACGCGGAAGGATACTCACCGGAATCGACGGGATGGAGAGGCTGGAAAATCCGCGTGGTATCGCACGTATTTCCGTGGTCGCTCCTAGCTACTAGGACGGGACACGGTGACAGAGAGAGCCGCGGAGGGAGAAGGAAAGAGAGCGAGAGGAGAGCGAGACGAGCGAGCAGGGATGAAATTGCAGTGTCATCTGCTGGCGTAGCCTCCGGCCAAGGGTGAAGGGCGCATGTGCCATCAGTATGGACGCCGCTGGTCCGCGACGCCGATTGGACCGACAGACTCGACCGTCTATTTTCCCCCGACGCCACCGCCGGTCGGTCTTGACCGATGATGCATCTACGAAGTAGATTGCGAGCAGCCAGGCAAAACCTCGGTCGGTGTATTTCGGCCGAGCGAGCGACACGGACACTCGCGGCCTCTCGCGAGAACTACACACTTCTGCCTTTTTACCCGACGTACGCGAGCCTCGTCTGACTGTCTGCTTGCCTCGATGACGATTATTCGAGAGACGTTCGTTGAACTTGCTCGCGACGTAACAAAACAGCGTCGCGTCGCGGAGCTGCTCTTCGAGCCGTTTTTCCTCTTTCCTTGGAATTTTATGATAGGTTAGGTTCACACGGTGTTCTAACGCATCTGAAGGCTGCAATGCGTGCATTCGTAAGAATTTGTATACGCATTTGATTGTTTTGACGTATGCAGTTCGTCAGAATGTCAGTTTCAATACGCATCCATTGTACGCACAGCCTGATGCGCATATATTGACGTTCGTAAATGTTAGGACGTTTATTATGTTCGTATAGAAAGTATTAGATGATTTAAATTACATTTCTTTTCGTTATAGATGGTATTGTATCGTAACCTCAATACTGCAACTAGACATCTTGACACTGAAACTACCAAATCCGTCAAAATAACGGATTTCAGATTTCCCTTGAAAATGTCAATTAATGAAAATTAGGGAAGAAGTGCAAGGCAAGAAATAAAATTTAATCATTGCCTTTGTTTGGAACTCGTGAAAGAAATTACGAATGGTGTACGAATTAATATGCGTATGAATTAATGGTGTATGCGCATGCGCAACTAATCGTCCAATACATGCAATTTTGTTAATTACTTTTTTAAATTTCCCATATTGCGTTATCTTTCCTGTTATGACAAAAATGTCAGCTACAGCATTATAAATAATGGGAAATTTATTTCTACGAGCTTTGGAAATAATTAAGAAAAGAATAATAGCGTTTAGGGGTTATGGCAGTAGAATACGGCCGATTTCTATAATTCCGAGGACAATTAGAAAACGATATTACCGATATAGTCAATTTTTTATTTATTATGGTGATTTGATATTGAAATTGACGAAATTGGTATCCTAAATAAATAATCTGCAGTAAATATCAAGCTCGAGCTTGTATGTTTTATAATATACAATACAAAATGTAAAATATAATTCATATTCATTGAAGAAGGTCAAATTAAAAACTGTTTTACCCATACGTGTTCTTTTTTCTTTTTAATACGTTTTTTAGAATTACGATGTCGTTTCAATGCCTCTAGTGGAGGCATTGAAATTTTTGAAGCGTTAGGGTGGGGGTATGACTTATTATTCAGTGAATTGCATTCTGCAACTTTTACGACTTCCGTTCGTTGACGATTGTGCAGAGGGAAAGGGTAGAAGTTCGTCGAATGCAGTGAAATTCTTAGTAATGTTATGAATTTTTCATTTTGAAAGGTCCAATGAAGTTTTAGGTAAATATTTTAAGTAACGCGACATTTTAAAACAAAATATATTACGTTTCTAAAGGGGCTTAACATTCGTATGAGATCGAGAATTGCAGAATTCGAGAGATAACGGAATTATTGGAATTGTTTGAAAGATCCTCGATTATTAGAGCTTCGAGAGTTACGAGATTCGTAAGATTTCTAAGGCGTTAAATTTATGGATTTTCGCGAGATAGTCGATATTAATGGGAGAGCGTGAATTTGGTTTAAGTGATATTATAGTATTTAAGCAGAGAAGCTTGCACGATAATGTCATTAAAATCAATATTCTAACACTTCAAGAAAGTCTCCTTAATTATCAATCTGTAAATCAAATATAAGTAAAGCAAATAAATGAAACAAAATCCATGAAAATCTATAAATAACTCGAGTAACAGTAAATAATAATTACAACTTATTAAAATAAATATTCTAAGACCAACAAAATCTACTTAACTGTCAATCTGTAAATGAAATACAAGTAAAACAAATAAATAAAAATCTATAAATAACTCGAATAACAGTACATGATAATTACAACTTATCGTTGAAATAAATATTCTAGGACCAACAAAATCTACTTAATTGCTATTATATATAATATAACATATAATAAATAAAATATAAGTGAAACAAGCAAATAAAATATATCTAATACATGTCTACCCAATTTATCAACAAAAAACCCCCACAAATACGTTTACATATATATACTTTACATATTGTACATGTTAATTACCCATGTACTCGTACTCGATCGTGATTGGTCGAACCGGTGAACCGTCACGTGCACCCAGGTATGACACACCGTATATAAACCCCGGAGTTTTCATTCATTCAACATTCCTCCTTTTGTATCAGCTGAAGCAACATGGAGTACTTCAGGTCATTCCTACGTGCTGTCGGTCTCCTGGAACCCACCAAGGTGGATTTCGTAGCCGAGCTCCCTCTGGAGGTGTCGCAGTTGATACTTCGCAAACTGGACCCTGAATCTCTGTTCAGCGCTGCTCAAGTATCGGGAAGGTGGCTGGAAGTTTGCAGATCCGACAAGAATCTCAGACGTACGGGGAGACTGTACAAACTGTTCACAGAGAGACGCAGGAGGGAGGAATTTCTTGGACGATCTGCCCTGGAGGAAAGGAAGATCCAGATACCTAGGAAGTGGACAAACAGGAGGAACTTACAGGGAACTGTTCTGCCTTCTAGGTATGAGGTTACCGTTGTTTTTGGAAGGGTGAGAATCTCTTCCGGTTCCTCGAAACCTTCGAAGGCGAAGCATTCTGTGGATGAGAGGCCGGTTAGATGCATGAGAATATAGTTTAAGTAATAAATTTATCCTTTGACATGCTTGGTCTTCCGAGCTTCTACGTTTATTTGTACATTTTTGTTAGGAATAATTTATTTGTAGTTACATTACCCTAAGGTTCTTCTTTTAAGGCGAGGTGAAATTAATTTGACATGCTTGGCCGAGTGTTGTATGTATGTTTGGGATAATTTGGAAAGTTGATTGATTTTGTATTTCGATGCGACTGATGCTCTTTTTTTTGTTTTAGATGTAACGGTTACTAAAGCCTCTCCTAAGTGCCATACTAGTTCAGACACCTTAATTGTAAAGCGCTGTTGATATTTTTTGTAAGTTAATATTGTATGAAATTTTTGAGTATTTTGTATAATGAAAATTTTAAGTACAGAAAAGAATATTTAGTATTAGTTAGGAAATATTTTTAATACTTGGAGATAGGAAATGTAGCGCGTGGGAATAAAGAATGAAATGAGACCTGAATGCCTTATAATGTAACGATATAATTGTATCAATTTTTTTTATTAATTTAATACGCCAACAAATATATCTCTATATTGTTTGTTATGAATTGTGCGAATAAGCGATTT